CCTGCGCGGGCGCGGTGCCGCTCGTCGCGGTTGCGAAGGGGGGTTGTGCTCACGGGCCTTCCTCTGGTCGCTGGGTCGGGTGTCGTTTCTCTGTGGGTACCGGATTATCGGTGCGCAGGGGTGCGCAGGGCACGTGGAGAGGTAGCGGTGGGTGCAGAAATACAGCGGTTGTCGTCTCCTCGTTCCGTATCTTGGCTCTGCCCTTGGATCTTGGCAGGAGCACGGCGAGGCTCCAGTTCAGTGAAGCTGCAGTAATGACCCTCTTCTATACGATTTACCTGCAATTAAATTTTGATTCAGCATGCTTCTGCTGTCCTACGCTCTGCCCTTTGCAGACACATACGTTATCACTGTGTTTCCCCAGCTGCAGACTCCCACAAAGGGTAATGTTGTACTCAAGAAGAAATAAGGTGGAAGCAGCCCAAGGTGAGCTTGGGGCCAGTAACGTGCCCCCCAGCACACCTGCAGAGGGGCTCGCTCTCCTCCTTTCCGACCTGTCCCTGCAAAGTGTCAGAGCGTGCTACGGCACCATCTGTTTTCGCTCCTATCTAGCGGGGCTGCCCCCCTTCCCTCGTACCCCATCTCTCAGGTGGTGACGGGTGCTCTGAATCCACGCTGGCATCTACCTTAATTCAGCTGAGAAACAGTTTTGTGCTGTTTTTCCAGGGTGCGCTCACATACGTGTGTACGCCATCTGCTAGCGCTGCTATTCCAGAGCTGCAGAGCTTTATTTAGGGATGGAGCACAAGCGTGGTGCGACACAACGCTGTGTTACGCTGCCTGTGCCTTGGAATGTGCCTGTTTTCTCTAATTTACTTTCTGTAATAATGCAAGCATTAGCCTTAGCGCCTCGTCCCTATCCTAATTCGGATGATATATTTTTGCAGTTTCATCGGAATCAGTATTCATCATTCCTGCTCTTGAACCGTGAGATAAATTTTATGGGGGTTGGCTACGCATTAATTGCAGTTGAAAAGAAGAAAGAGCCTAACGTGCTTCTCACTTTGTTTATCCAGCTGCCTATATAATTGTTTTATGTGGTTCTGAAGAAAAATCATGGGCTGCATGCCACCAATGTACAGTTATTTCATATTACAATTTTGTGTCCAATCTAATTTAAATGGCATTGCATTATATTATGGAGGAGCTGGTAACTGTCTCTGTATTTAGGCTGCCAAATACTTTGTATTATTATAAAGAATTATTTCGCTCTTTTTTTTCCCCCCTGATAAATTCTCAGACCAGTGGCATTAGCTGCAGGATGTTGATATTTGGCAGAGAAAATGACCTGAAGCTATAAATGTGACTTTTCTGTTTAGAGAGGATCCTTCATTCTCATGAAATTCTTCCAGTTTTTGCTGAGCTGTATCTTGTCAAAAATGACCATTTCCCTTTCCCCAGGGAGAGAAAAGCTTGCTTTCATTTTTCTCAGGAAAAAAGTGTATTCCTTATTAAAATAATACTTGAACTGAGGTGTGTGCAGCAAAACCAAGTAGCCAAAAGTGAGGTAGCACCAGATTTGTATACTCCGGACAGCTTGAGCTTGTAATGCACAGAATTAACGCTTAATGCATTGGCAGTTTGATGCGTTGAGTGATGAGGCACTTGGCTCAGAAATGGCAGTTGTGCTTTGAGTCCAGCAACATCCATCCCCTCCTTGTTTAAAGGGTATCATGAGTCAAGGGCTTCTCTGGCTGCTTTTCCTTCACGGGGTCAGGGCCAGAAAAAATGTCAGCTGAGAGAGAAGAAAAGCAGCTCCGGTTTTCTGATCCTTTCTGATTCCTTTGGCAATTGCAGGCCAGATTTTGGTGGGATATAAAGAACGGACATCCCACAAACTTTGCACGATAAGGAATTCCTGCCTCTGCTTTGCACGTGCTGAAGGCCAGTGGGGAAGATGGTGGGGACGGAGGATATAAGGCTGTGAGGGGAGATGGCGTGAGGCTCCAGAAAGTTACCTGCTAGCCCTCAGCTGCAAGAACAGTACTTTTATGTGGCCTTAACAACTGCAGAAAAGATTGAAGTCACTGATGTTATTGGGGTGAGAGAAATGGAGAGAAAGAAGCAGAAGTTAAGTACTTTTTATTCACAGTTTTAGCCACTAACTGGATGTATGAACAAAACATATTCAAAAATTAATTTTTAAAAAGCGCATTATAATGGACGTTTACCTTTCATGGAACTCCTAAAATATTGGTGCTTCTCTTCAATAGCTTTAAAGCTGTGTTGAGCACTGGAGGGGAGGTAGGAGAGAGTTTGTATTTATGGAGTTTTGAAACCTCTCTCCAATGTTCCATTCTTTCCGTTTTCTTCTTATCCAATAAAGTTTTAATTCTTGTTTATATCCTTGTTTGTTGTCATGGAAATATCTGAAGGCTTTAAGTAGAGAATAATTACGGTTTTGTTGTGGAGAGATGCCGAAAGTGGAACACAGACTTTAAGGGAGAAATCTCCCATTTAAAAATGATGCGGCTCCAACAATGCGCAGGAAAGCAAATGCACTTTGATTACGTCCAGGGGCAGATGTTCTGGCTTTTATTGTAAAGGTTTTGAAGAACAGAAGGTAGCACCTGGTGCATGCTCTCAAAGGTTACCAGTTAGCAGCTATCATCAGTGAGTAGCCCTGATGAAGCAGGGGTAATCCAGCTTAATAATGTAAAACCCAGAACGCGCTCAAATGACTTTACAGTTGTTTATAGGGCAGTAAACATCTGCAAGGAGACTCGAAAACAGTGCGTGTTTATTAATCAGCAAGGCTGTGCTCTCACGCCACTGCTTCAGAGGCATCCGTTGTAGCCGTAGCTTGCCGCCGTGCTTCAGCGCGTTGTGCCGCTCGGTCGTGCCGCGGGCGTTCGTGTCCCTCCTCGTTCGGCTTGTTCACCGGGCGGAGAGAGAACATGGTTCATCGGTCACGTCGGTGGGTTTACTCTGGGTTAACAGTACAGAGCGTTTATTAAATAATTTCTAGCATGAGAGTAGTAGGAGGTGTATGCTGCATTTTTTGGAATATCATTGGACATTCTTTCTAAAGATCTGCAGGTTTTGACTCAAAGCTGTCCTGGCTTTGGATGGAGATGGGCCCCTGACTTATGTGTGCTTATTAATATCCATTATGATTTGAGGTCTACTAGTGCCAGAAGGTGCAGGATGGGATTGCGTAGTTAATTATTCCCGGTCATACTTTCTTGTTGACACTTCTAGCTCATGTTAAATGAGGAGCGATAACTTGACTCAATTCACCAGCAAATCTGCAGTTAATCCACTTTATCTTCACCCAGTACTTATATGGGCTAAATACCCATGACTCAATACAAATTGAGCATAATATGAGCTGAAGAATTCAAATTCAGACAAAATCAAAAGTATCTTGAGGAGGAATCTGTGCCTTGGATTCCATTGTGTTTAAATTCCCCGTTTCTGAAAGGCAGTTTGAACAACTTTGGATCCTCTAATGTTTGCTAATGCTGTGAATGTTGCCTACACGATGTGCTCAGCGCAAAAGTATTATGCGCATCAAAGACAAGGAGTGCGATTTATCTTAACTCTGGTAGAACAGCCCATAAAAATGGGAAGCTGCTTAAACCGACAGGCTTCTGCCATAAGCTGCAGCCCCGTCTCACTGACCACAGTGAGTTTGACAGCGTTTCTATCACGACCCAGTGTCCCAGCTCAATGCCACCTCCAAAACTTTCAGAAGGTGTTAATGGAAATGTCTATATAGATTGGGCTTATTAATGCCTCGGGAAAAGGTGTGGTATTACAAAGCAACAGTGATGTGGTGGTCAGGCCGTTAACTGTGGTACCCTGGCAATCAGAGGAAAATTAATGATTTTTAACATGTGGCATAGCGTGCAATTTCAGTCTGTTAATACAGAGAAAAGTTATCGAGAACCAACTTTTGGATGATTCTGATGAAAATTGCTATAAACTTCCGTATAAATCTATATGAAAAAAACCCCAACCTGTGAAAATTGGATCAGATATCCTAATCTGTCTTCCATTTCTGCTACTGAATGGCACAAGGTGCCTTGGAGGGATAAATGAGATCTTGTCTCAGTGTGCTCATTTGTGTTATATTGATCATTACATTCAGTCTTTTCTTAGACCCTAATATTTAGATGTAATCTGAAAACTAAAATTATGACTCAAAATCTCAGTGTCTGAATCAGGCTTTTTAACTGTTTGCATGGAGTACCACAAATGCGTCCCTGATCCTGCTTGGGCAGTGAATGCTGCTGCAATACAAACAATAATAATTACGTTTACTAAGGCAAAGAGAGGCAAAAAATAGAAGTCCGTTTCTATGAAGTAATGAAAGGTACAATGCAAGCCAGTTAGCTGGCATGTCCTCTTTCCCATGGAAACACTAGAAAAGAGAGAACCCTCTGCTGAAATAAAAGCAGTCTCTACGAAAGGAATCATTGCTTTTTAAAGCCTGTGGGCATCCTCAGTGCAATTTGGGGCTGTGGTCGTGGGGGCTGCTCCTCCTGGGTGATGGCCTACTGGTTCCAGTGGGGCTCGGTGCAGGTGGGGAGAGCCGCACACACAGACCTACTCGTCTGGTTACCGAG